TCTACGTATGTCCACCAAGTTTTATCAAAATCTGATCATTTTTGACTGAGTTATGGAGCAAAAAATAGTGTGAAAAATCAGTCTCCATATTAACAGACATTTTTTGGTTTTCGTAACCTTGAGCCTTCAAAAACTAAACACTTCTAAGTTGGGTCATAATCCCAATGTGTACCAACTTTTGTCCAAATCCATTCAGCCATTTTCAATAAATCTTGCTGACAAATACATACACATACACGGGTGAAAACATAACTTCCATCACCTTCAGTGGCAGAGGTAATAATGAATTAGGTGAAACATCATAACATTATTCTGTATCTAGGTTATTGTACGGTGAATTAAAAAGGACTCAAAACCCTATAGATATTACATGTAAATATTGTTAAGTTACTTTGTGTTTTTAATTTCCTGTTATGTTAAAGGTAAGGTCAGAACATAGCTATCCTTAATTTAGAGCTGCTAAAGAGATGGAAGGCAGCCAGCTAATCAAATAGCAGGATTTTCTGTAACAATTATAGTGCACCCACAGCTAAAAACATGGAGTGTGTTCTGCAGAACGTAAGAGCTCAAACAGTGAACCTTCTGATTCACAGTCAAGCACATTAACCAATAGGTCGTTCCATCCCATTTGTCCTTCTGTTACATTAAGCCATAAGTTCAGTAAGATCAGACATAATGACCAGATTTTAGTTTCAATATAAAATTTTATTATATTGAAATCTATGTACACATTAAATGGAAAAAAGAAGAGTAAATATACAAAACTTTCATTTTGTTGTCATTGACTTTAGAGTCTCATAAACAGACAGGATTTCACAATGATCAAGGGTATTAAAATCATAATGCTTTAAATCCCTACCAGCAGTTGCTAGTAGAAATATTTCTAATTGATATAACTAAAAAAAGTCATCGTCCCAAGGCATGGTCAACAAAATCAGTTATTGTGTGTCTATGAACCTTACCAGATGCAGCAGTATGACCATCCACTAGTTTAACACCAGAATCCCATGACCAGAATATTCGACTGATGTAACATGACCTACAAAATAAAAAAACGTAATTCTCACTATAAACAATGAAATATTATTTAAAAAGTGCTTATTTATATATATATATGTACAAACTTCTCTTGGTTTCACCTAATTAATTTAGAATTCAATTATTTAACTTATTTTTTTCCTAATAAATGTGATAATTACATTTAATACAGTTGTTTTAACTACATTTTGTTTTCTATAAATAATTACTAAACAGGTCCTGTAATCAAAACTAAAACTCAACTAATAGCCTCTGCTACCATTGCTATTGCCATGTCCCAGTTTCAGATAGTAGCATTATATGTACATCCCACCATATTCCATCAAGGGATTAATGTCCTTAAGGTGCCACTAGTGATAGATAAGAATGTTAAAAACTTAAAATGACATTGGGGATAGAAAAGGATGTTATAGACGTAAGGTGACACTGGTGATAGATAAGAATGCTGAAAAGTTATGGTGACACCAGTGATGAATAAGAATGTTAAAGACTTAAGGTGACACTGGTGATAGATAAGAATGTTAAAAACTTAAGGTAACACTAGTAATAGACAAAAATGTTAAAAACTTAAGGTGACACTGGTGATAGATAAAAATGTTAAAAACTTAAAATGACATTGGGGATAGAAAAGGATGTTATAGACGTAATGTGACACTGATGATAGATAAGAATGCTAAAAAAGTTATGGTGACACCAGTGATGAATAAGAATATTAAAGACTTGAGGTGACACTGGTGATACATAAAAATGTTAAAAACTTAAAATGACATTGGGGATAGAAAAGGATGTTATAGACGTAAGGTGACACTGGTGATAGATAAGAATGATAAAAAAGTTATGGTGACACCAGTGATGAATAAGAATGTTAAAGACTTAAGGTGACACTGATGATAGATAAGAATGTGAAAAACTTAAAATGACATTGGGGATAGAAAAGGATGTTAAAAACTTAAGGTGACACTGGTGATAGATAACAACGTTATAGGCATAAGGTGATAGATAAGAATGCTGCAAACTTAAGGTGACAATGGTGTTATATAAGAATGTTTAAAACTTAAGGTGACAACTGTGATAGATAAGAATGATAAATAATTAAGGTGACACTGGTACTAGATAAGAATGATAAAACTTAATGTGACATTGATGATAAATAAGAATGTTAATAACTTGACAATGGTGATATATAAGAATGTTATAGACTTTAGGTGACATTGTTTGTGATAAAAAAGGATTGAACAGGCGAGACTCGATCATGGAATGTTTAACAAAATGGCACCATCAAGGGAGCCAGAAAAAAGATAAAAGACAAATTCAAATTGGCACATCATCAGGCAAGAAAAGACTGAACATCAATACACTCAGACCAGTTTCCACAGGAAAACATAATTACTTCTGTATAAATTGTTCAGACTTTGATTAGTAAGTTTCACATTTTTACACTAAATTGATTTATGAGATTCATTGAAATAATATACTTTAGGTTTTCTTAAAACAAAAAAACAATATGCAATGGATGATATGTTTGTGTACTAATATAAAGTTTTCTTTAACATACATACCATATATATATATACGTGATATGTAGGCATACCATGTTCCCCTACCTTTTCAAGGGGAGAAGTGAGCAAAAAGGTTTAAACACGTGAATTGGCTTGTACCACACCTGAAGAATCCATGACACTAGTTAAAGTTCACATTGTACAATCTCTCATATGAATTTAATACTTTACTGGTGTATTTACAAAAACAACAACATACAAATGTTTTATGAAATTCACTATTCAGTGTCAATTACATTTACTGTTTTATTTTGTGCTATTTTTTTTATACCGTCTTAGAACTTAAAATGTGAACTTCTACATCAGACCTATAAGTAGACTTGCACATAGAATCACAAAAGCAACAGAAAATATTAAAACAAACATAACCTGAATGAAGAGACAGCTTCACTAGGTCCATCAAAAACTGAGGTTCTAGTTTTGGTGTTGAAAAAATATGTTCGCTGATTTGTTTTGCTATACGCTATGGTCCATGGATCTAAAGAAATGAAAATGTTTTATAAGTAAAGATTTATAGTTAATAACGTATTTTAATACTAATTCCAGATCTAAAGTTGCATGATAATTACCTTGTTTGAGATATCTAACAAAGTTTTAGTCCTCAAATAGATGGCATTAAACTTTGTAGGAAAAGGTAATTTCTATACACAAAAAAATCTTACACCAATGCTTCTTTTTAGCTTTGTTTATATTTATTTACAAAATAAATTATCAAATTATTAAATTTAATGTACCTTAAAATACTTTTGATGATCCCCATTTTATAAACTACTAAGGTCAGTGTTGAAAATTCATATTAAAAGAGAAGGTCCCACTACCTACCAAAAATGTTGAGATAAATTATTGTCATTAACTCCCAATTAACAAAGTCTGTAAGAGACACATCAGTTACAAAGATTAAGGTAAAGTCAAGAAGTATAATTTTAAAACTGCAATACCAACTTTGTTTTCCCTTTATAACTCGAACTAGGACTTCATTCTAATGAGTAAATCAGGCAAATGAGCAATTTCTTTGATTGTTAACTGGTTCAAAAGTATATTCTTAAGACTGTTTTAGAAATTTAAATAAAATAATTAATTTGTTGTTTCAGAGCTTTGTTCAAAACTATACTAGGGATATCTTAACTAGCCATCCCCAATTTTCAACTGAGAGATTAGAAAGAAAGTAGATAGTCAACAAAGTCAACTCTTGGGCTACCCTAGTTAAATTGTGGAATTTGACTGTAACTGTTATGGTGTACCCATGGCCTCAAAATGTGTAGTGTATTTATGTAATGACAGCATGTAAACATAAATCCTCAAATTCACAGCCTGGCAAGTTAACCACTAGAATATGTCTGGATTTGAGAAGTAATCAAAGATAAAACAAAAGATGCAATGTTATGGAAAAATATGACAGCAAGAAATCTGATTGTTTACAGAGGCATATCATACTTGTTGATAATTACTAGGAGTAAGTTTCTTAATTTAACTTAACAAAGTTAATATATATATATGAGTTATTCATGTGACACAGTGAATTTCTTTTTGAGGATTGTTTTTCTTTACAGTTTGACTCTGATAAAGATCTAATTTAGGAGTCATATACAAAGTATGCTGCGGTGTGAGAAATAAGAAAAATGTCACCTCCTGTAATTTACGACTTAACATTCTACAGCCATACAACTCTAATTTTAGTGGCAGAAATATAGAAGATTGAGTAAGGTATATCTAAATGATTCTGAATATGTAAATCACCAAGTCATATGACAACAACAGCTGATATAAAGTCATGATATAACGGAATGTATAAGAACTACATTTTGGCATTGTTTGGTCTTCCATAGACAGTGTGATGCCATCAAAAATTTATCACTTTTAAAAAGTATATGTAACAGCCCTTTCAGACCCTAAATATTCATCACTCAGATCATAAAAATTTGTTCAGATTGAGGATTTAGAATTTCCAAGATGGGAATATCCTTTGTACATAATGGCATTGGAAAACAAAAGAATAGGGATTAACTTGGGTACCATGCACAGAAAGAAGACCTGCAATAAGCCATACCATAGCAATGATAAGTAAAGTTTATTGTCTTTTAAAATGTGAAATTCCATAAACACAAATGTCAGAGGAAAAAGCTGTCCACATGCCCCAGAAAGACCTCCTTCTGACACTCCTCAAGCAGCCATAGAATACAATGGATATTCACACTACTCCATACAAAGATGTGCTGTTAAAGTCACTAGAATTAGTGTCTGTGGATTTAAGTATGATAGGATTTTTTAAATGAATATTGGAAAACTGTCATCCTCATACACTATGGATTATGAAAAGCATGCAGGAAGGAGTGGTGCATCTTGAAATAGATAGCCTTATGATGAAGCCTTCTGCATGAGTCCAGTATGTTCTAAGCAAATAACAAAGTGTCAAATTAATAAAATATTAAGTGAAACACATGTTATTGAATGGGTAAGTCTGATTTGAAAAACTGCATCACCTCTGACTTAACTGTTTTTCAGTTTGAACATGTAGTATCCCAAACATGCACATCCACAGGTGTCCCATTTACAGGTAAGATCCTTTTTTGCGTACTTTCAAAAAAGTAACTTTTAGAAACATTGTAATATATATAGTAAAAGGATTTGAATAAAAATATTTTGGATCAACAGATTATTAAAAAACAGCAGCAATAAACTATCCGCTCTTTAAACATTAAGGGCCCCTTTTTTGTCTTGATGCAATTGATGTAGCAGGATGCGGAAGCAATAATTTTGTACAATAATGAGGCACATGTAGATTTTTTTCATCTACAGAAAATACTTTAAACAAAAATTCTCCGAGTTTTATTCAGTGACCCAGGGAACCCACTCTAGACTTTATAAAATGAATAAAGTTTATCTAAATTATAAACAAATAGTGAAAACAGCAAATAAAGGAGAAAAACGAAAAGAAAAAAGACACGAGTGTGAGTGTGTGTAGAACATTATGTTATAGCATACATTCAAATGATAAAGACATGCTTGGTTTGTTGTATATTTTAATATTAGAAATTCCTGTAAAAAACAGAAAACCTGTCAAGAACATGCAACATCTTAGTTGTACTAACTGGAGTCCAAAAACTGTACTGGTGTTCTGTAATTCTAGTGATGAAAGTATGTAGTTAATACATGCAGGAGTCCAAAAGCTGGTGTGTTCTGTGATTCTAGTCATGAAAGCAGTTAGTTAAAGCATACAGGAGTCTAAAAGCTGGTGTGTTCTGTGATTCTAATGATGAAAGTATTTAGTTAATACATGCAGGAGTCTAAAAGCTGGTGTGTTCTATGATTCTAGTCATAAAAGTACTTAGTTAATACATGCAGGAGTCCGCAAGCCAGTCAACTGTTAACCCTCTCATCAGAGGTAAGGTACACATGTCACAACTTTTATACACTTTTATATTCAAAATTTAATTAAATGACTTTATTATCAATGTATATGAATAAACTTGGCATAGATAATAGGTCAAATCTTAATATATGCTTTAATTTCTTAATTTTAAAAGTAGATATTTAAAAAATTTCCCAATCTCCACTTGTATTTATATCATGACATTTGTTCATACTAACTTGCCATCATCTATTTTTTTCATCACCCCTCTCTGATGTCATGAGTTTAACATAAGTTACTTATTATAGTATATATATATTACTAAGGTATAGTCTAATTTTATAGTTTTTAGTCTTAATAAGAAAGTCAGATCCACTTGTTACATCCATCTATCACATCCTCTCTTTCACAAATTGCTAATAATTCTAACTTCTGATATTACATCATTTTTAACCAATAGTAACTATAAAGGGAACTTTTACCAAATAGCATATAATGCTACTTTGTTCTCAGTAGATTTTTAGTTATTTTGCCTGCAGATTGAAAGTTGCTATTGATGAGTTCTGGTCAGGCAACTAAGGGAATTATTTTAAGCCACTTACGACTTAGTTAGGAAGTCAGTTAAATTATAAGTTAAAGGACACTGTTTAATTTGCGAGTGTTATTATTTTGTGTTCTTAAGTGCATACTTAAAATAAATAAAAAATAATTTAATGTACTATTACTATCATTACAAAGAGTAGGCTAATGTAGACACTAAATTTATTGTTTTTTATGTATATTTTGTATTCATTGTTATAAAAGTAACTAGAAATTAGAAAATTATTAGTTTAGATTAAGTAAGATAAGGAAAACCAATAAAAATAAAAAAAATTTCATTAAGTACTTGAGTGTACCTTGTGCATTCTTTCATCCAATTTGGTATAAAATATAAAAAGGAGAAATCAGAGCATTAAATGTATCACATGATATAGAGTAGTGAAGATGGAGAGTTTACATAAATATTTCCTTTCAAACTTTGAAAATTAAGACATATATAATGTCAAACCGTAATTCTAAATTACATTTTAATTCCAAGTTATTGAAATACATGGATAATAAAATAATTTAATTAACTTTTGAATGTAACTCTTTAAAAAAAAATAGCAAAATCCCCACTCTGACCAACCCACATGCATAGGGTTAAAACCCATAATTTACAAAGGATCTTATAAGGTTAACTTAAGTTTAAAAGTTAATGTTTTCCATGTCCCAATCATACATATTGCAATTTTTTTATCGAAAAAATATATGACGTACTACATGTTCTAGTAGTCTCAGTGGCACAATGATTTGTGATGGCAAAGTATAGATAAAGTAGTCCTTGTTCTGTTGGTTTCAATGGTATACTGGCATTTCAATGCAAAGTAAAGTTGATTTAATGATGTTGTGTTCACTATTGTATGTTGGCCTATTAACATATGACCCTAGAGAAAGATGATTTTGCCCCAATCCCATAGTCTAACCCTACTAATGTTTCCAAGTAAAACAATACACTAAATTATAGCATAAAATAAAACCACTTTTCCAACTGTTTTATATAACATTATGGTTTAAAAAGTTGCATTTGAAGTAGACCCATGGGTTCCAAATGTGTTAATTTTATGAATCTTAAAAGTGGGCCTACAAAAGTTGTGATAAAGGATCATCAAATGGGCTGCTGGGCACAAAAAGTATTTTAATTTTTTAATATTGTACAAGTGAATTTCTACACAGCTTCAACACTATTTTTAGTATTTTTTTGCAACTATTAGTAATTTCGGCATGATTTTTTTAAATTAGTTACATTAGCAGATACATTAAACAAATATCTAGAAATGACTTAACACAAATCCAGGAATTACAGTTTTTACTGATAACCTAAGAGATGAACAAAAAGGAGTTGCATGGACAAGCATATGTAACATCATTCCAGTGAACAATAAAATATTAATTAAACACGTAGATTTATTTCACTTGTCTGCAGCATACATTTAAATTTTTTCATGTGTGCTTGTCACAATCCTTTCTTTCATGAATGGAAACTGCCACACAGGGTTAACTTCATGAAATCACAAGAGGGAACTGCCATACAAGGTTACTTCATGAATTCACAAGAGGGAACTGCCACACAGGGTTACTTCTTGAAATCATAAGGGAACTGTCACACAGGGTTACTTCTTGAAATCATAAGGGAACTGCCAGACAGGGTTAACTTCATGAAATCACGAGGGAACTGCCACACAGGGTTAACTTCATGAAGTCACGAGGGAACTGCCACACAGGGTTAATTTCATGAAGTCACGAGGGAACTGCCACACAGGGTTAACTTCTTGAAATCACGAGTGAACTGTCACACAGGCATACAAGTTACTTCTTGAAATCATAAGTGAACTGCCACATACATATACAAGTTACTTCTTGAAATCATAAGTGAACTGCCACATATAGGTATACAAGCTACTTCATGAAATCATGAGAGAACTGCCACACAGGGTTACTCCATGAATTCACAAGAGGGAACTGCCACACAAGGTTACTCCATGAATTCACAAGAGGGATCTGCCACACAAGGTTACTCCATGAATTCACAAGAGGGATCTGCCACACAAGGTTACGTCATGAATTCACAAGAGGGAACTGTCACACAGGGTTACGTCATGAATTCACAAGAGGGAACTGCCACACAGGGTTACTTCATGAATTCACAAGAGAGAACTGCCACACAGGGTTACTACATGAATTCACAGGAGGGAACTGCCACACAGGGTTACTTCATGAATTCACAAGAGGGAACTGCCACACAAGGTTACTTCATGAATTCACAAGAGGGAACTGCCACACACGGTTACTCCATGAATTTACAAGAGGGAACTGTCACACAAGGTTACTTCATGAATTCACACGAGGGAACTGCCACACAAGGTTACTTCATGAATTCACACGAGGGAACTGCCACACAAGGTTACTTCATGAATTCACACGAGAGAACTGCCACACGGGGTTACTTCATGAATTCACAAGAGGGAACTGCCACACAAGGTTACTTCATGAATTCACAAGAGAGAACTGCCACACGGGGTTACTTCATGAATTCACAAGAGGGAACTGCCACACAGGGTTACATTTTTTCTGTTGATGAGGAAGATATTTTATGTGTGTGATATCAATTTTATATGCCAGTTAAAAAAACATTCATAATAGCTCTTAATGAACCACTTACAGCTCCTTCCTAATTGAGTGCTCAATGGAAACACCACATCAATGATGCAAACCTATTACTGTTTCAATAAGAGTTTGTTCTTAGTTGCTGTATACTTACATTCAACTGTTTTAATAATTAGCAAGCCAGAAGGGATAAAATGTTTTCCGTCAGTCATAGAATAACACAGTTGAGGAATTCCACCTGAACCCTTCACCACTTTCATAGTTAAACTAAGAATAAAAAGACATAGAAACCAACTTCAGGTTAAAATGTGACTTAACATTTTATAAATGGAAAACTATACCTACAGAAATAAATTATTGGATACAGGTATTAAGATACATGTTACAGTATAGAAAACAAGTCACCAAAATAAGTATCACTGATACTGAGACCAACAAAATTCACACACCTGTTAAAAGTAAAAATCTAACTAAAAAAATATACTTAGACTATATATATATATATGATAATAACTGTTACAAAACAGAAAATTTCAAAGCATATATATATACAGGTCATTGTATTCAGTATTTTTACCTATAAAACTAAAGTCAACTTAAATATATGTTTAATATACTACATCAGAAAAATTAAAACTTGTTACATTGAAATAGTCTGTACTATATTTTTTCCATATGCTTATACAAACCTTATTAAAACTCAATATATTGCAGTTAAAAGTGGTCCTCAAGATGTCCATGAAAGATTACACAGTAAACCTGCCACCTTTTAAAACAAAGTTGTTCGGCCTGTCTGAATTACATTAACACAAAATAATGCATTTTTAATTAAATATATAAATACTATAGTTACACTATTTTATTAATTATTAATACTTAATTCAAAGTATTTGGCAGAATACATAATATCATGAAAATATTGTATTCTACTTTATGTTTTATTTTGGGTGTAGAATAATAAATATAATGCAGATTGTGATGTATGTATTTTGTATAAATAATGCCATATGAATATAATTTTAAAACACAGAACTAAGTATTTTGTATAAATAATGCCATATGAATATAATTTTAAAACACAGAACTAACTATTTTGTATAAATAATGCCATATGAATATAATTTTAAAACACAGAACAAACATGGTTATAACACATGATAATAATTGGTGAGAATGTTAAGAATGTTATGCAAGTTCTTTAGTGCTCAAATCTGATGAAAAAGAAAGTGTCCAAAAAAGCAAGTTAATTGTCTAGAATTTTGGTATCAATACAAACAATCTAGAAAATTTTCAAGGCTTAACATCAAAGTAATTATAACAAAAGCAAACTCAGTTGTTGCTTATAGACAAACTAATTTATACAATATATCAAAATTCCTAAAAAAACTTCTGCAAGGAACATTTCAAAACTTATACGTCAAATTTGTGGATTTTACAGAAAACTATAACTATGAAATGCTTTACATCAAGATTCCCATTCTTTACAAATATGAGATGAAGTTCTTATAATGCTCCTAAATATCGCAGAGAAAATATTGTCAGGTAATTCACAGCTATCACTTTATCATGTGTATTTTAAAGTTACAGAATAGTAAGATGCACTGAAGTTTTTGAGGTTTCTGTTAATTTGGCCATAGATAACAATGTCACTGGACTTTTTTAGTGTTATTAGAAAGTTCAGACATTTTTATTTCTCAATTTTAGATTCAAGAAAAGCACAGAACATATTTTCAGTGTTTGAATTCTTAATATGAGATACCTTAGATTAGATAACTACATTTTAAAGTATTTTTTTTATGTTTATTATATTAAAACTCCATGCATTTCACATGGAAAGGAGCTTCCTGTGCAGCACTGGCCACCTGATGGCATGATCGAACTTCAGGTTGCATTCAGGGTGTTCTACACTCCAAACACTATCAGCCATATGTTGAGTGGGAAGGCAATCTCAAGTGCCATCAGGTGTTATTTGTTGATGACACAATCTCAAATGCATTTCTGGTGGCAATAATTGTATTAAAAGTTTCATGGCTTCTGATATATCACACAGAAAGGTTCTATGAAGCTGACGACAGTGAATCAAAACATAAAAGTGATATGCCTGTACTAATGATTTCTCTCCTGTCTGAAGAGCTACTTTCTGCAATAATAGAAGAATTGAAGATAAAAGTTGGCAACACTGATTTGAGCAAAGCAGCTCCACTTCTTGAAAATATTGTGGTAGGAGAAATTTCTATCCAAGAAGTATGCCAGGCAGAAGTTCTCAACAGCATTCAAGAAAAACATATACAGCATTGATGAAAGATTAGAGATCATCTTCTTCGTGACTGCAAAATGCTGATATGATGAGTACTTTGAGAAGATTTACAAGATATGAATGCATAAGAAACTGTCAGCTTCACCTGAAGTGTACATGTGAATTGCCATCATACCTTGTTGCATCTGGACAAAATCTGTATGCACCTATGTGACTTCATCTCCAGAAGATATTGGATCTGGAGATAACTTATCCTGAAGTCAATGTCAATTTCCAAACAGAACATCACGTCACATCATCACAACCAGTGATCACTTCTAGCAATTAAGCTAGTCTTCGTTCAAATTATGAAGACTTATGGAGGATTTATAACAGGAAGGGCCATGAGTAAAACTTTGCAATCAATTTGAGTGTTTTCCATGCCCACAGGTGCAGATGTTAACATAAACAAAAATCAAAGGATTTAACAGATGCTAACAATAATGAGATTTCAAGGAAATTTTTGCTCTTTGGCTTTTGAATACAGATCCTTTCAACTCAGACCCAAGTCTAAGAAACATAGTCAATGGTAAAACAGCGGATTCTACAGTGAATACAAATGCTGCCATGACTTAAGTTGGAAAAATGATTTTAACCATCTTAATTAACCAAAATGTCCTTGACTTTTAAGGAGGAAGATCATGTCATAAAACATGCAACCAAATGATCCAATCAAAACTGGTAAATGTCTGCAGGTTAATTCTTAACTTCCCTTCCAATGAACGGTGACAACAGGGGATGAACTAGGGCCAAATGTGCTAGCACTTGTTATTTATGAGTTTTGTAGAATACTTCTGCTCAGTTTAGCCAATCATGTCTGTCTAGAGAGATAAATAAAGCAGTTTTTGCTGACTGTATTTGTAAGATAGTCCAAAGGACCCATTCAGAACACAGGCATCCAATATATACTGGACGATAGCTCACTTCTACTTGTGTGGCAACATGGAGCAACAGACCATTACATAATCAAGCTATATGATGACACAGAGAGACATCAAAACTGCCATTGTTTTTTATGGTTACAATGAAGCATCAATAGAAGTGATGAAGTTGTTGATGCTACAGTTCATTTTGTTTAAGACATGATTGTGAGCCAGGAGAAGGAGCTTTTTGTAAACAGTCATTGATGAATATGCTAAATGGTGGTTCCATTTTACCATTCCACTGGAGTATATCACTTTCCCAATTTTTTGAATTAACTTCAGCTTCTCTCATGTAATTGAAAGAAAATCATAAACCAAGATGTTTCAGAGAAAAAATTTACAGAAATACTCAGGTTACCTCATCAAATATGATTTTCCTGATTGTTAAGAAAGCAGTAAAATTAGACACCAACTGTTTGATGATGACAAAACCTTGTCGAAACGTTGTACATTTGCTGTTATGTTAAACTTAAATTAAAGTTTTTCTTCATTACCCATTCAAGCCATCTCCAGCCATTATCAACTGTATGTCTGTTCTGACTGGACAGGATAATAGCCTCCTCAATTTACTTCTTTATCACACCAACACATTATTGAATGATATCTTCTTCAAGACAAACCAAATTCCAACTGTAAAGAACCAACCATAATATGGAACATCAGAGAAGCCAAGAGAATTCTTGGCAATTATTTTTGCTAATACATTCTTTTTGCACATCCACTACTTGGGTGTAACACCAATTCAAGAGTATATGGTACTGGTAAAGGTGTGTGTGCTTGAAGTTGCAGAATAACAATGTCTTGTGAAAGAAACAAAAGTTTTCTTGAACCCATCCATCCTTCAAGATTTGGTACAAGACAGAGAATAAGTCCTTGTATGCATGTGCAATGATGAAAAATCTTTGACTCAACAGCTTTCACTACATTGAGTTTTCTTGAGAAAATTGACAAAAGTATCACATTTATACAAGTACATAAACTTCCTTCAACTCCAGCATCAGCTTGATACCATTCTTTTAGGTCCAAACATGAATGACTAATGCTGTTACAACCTGTCTTTGGGAATGGGAAGAGCAGCATGGGCACCTCTATTGTTTCTTCACCCATATGCCAGCCATTGTACCTATCCTGTTCTGATTTGTCCACTGCAACTGCAAAAGTGATTCTTGATTATCTAGATGCAATGCAGAAAGCGTGGTTTGCAGTGTTCTTTGGGTTTTGGGAAATGTAAAGAGATAAGCTGTACTAACTAGCCTAGAGCGCAGCACAATGACAGAGATGGGGGGAGCTTTAAAATGTTGTTTAAAACATGAGTGTATTCTATGCTAGTGGTCAATACATTCCTCAATGTCTTTATTGCAGTTTCTCTAGATATGAAGAAGCTTTTTTATAAACACAAAACTTGCTTATGTTTACACAACAAAATTGTACAAAATATGGTTAAAAAGATGTAAATCACCATAACATTTAAAATGAATTTTCTAAATGTTCATTACATAGTATGTTATAAGAATTCTGATACACAGTTATGGGTCTGCAATGGAAACAGTTGAGTAGGCTTTTGCTGCATTAAATTTTGGAACTTCTAGACTGACTGGGATATGTGTGATTGTTTCAAGTGGTTGAAATAAACTCTCAAACAGAAGCCAGGTCTATGCTAGCATTAATCTTAATGAATATGCATGCACAACAGAAAGAAGAAGACTTACTGATTTGTAATATTTCATTGTTGTTATGTAAAACTTACATTTATTAATAATAATGGTCAATGCAATGCTAATGTTAGACCATATCATGAAAAAAAAATACTGCTTGTCATTTGTAGTTTCTGTAAAAAGCTGGTAGAATGAAGGGAAGGCAGTTAGTGAACAGCATGAATCTCCAATTGTCAGGCTATCACTCTTATTGTGTTTCTACAGTCTCAAACTGCAGAGTGCATGTTCTGTGACAACAAGATATGAATCACAAATGTTTTGATTCACAGTCCAGGTATGCTAACCAACATGCCAAGCCTGACCCTTAAATAAAAGGTAATGTTAATTCTGTTTGAAACAAAATTAGTAAATATGTTATTCAGAAATAATTTTTTTGGCTCTTGGCTTCTTGTGTGGTATTCCTTGAAATTAACTTGAAAATCTGTCCACAAAATATGAGGAAATAACCAGATATTTGCAATTTGGTAGATGAGTCTGTATATATCTGGTGTGAAACATTAGAGAAAATTATCAAAATGGACAAATTAACATAAAAAGAGAACAATTCATACTTCGTGAATTAAAATCCTTAAAGACTTATAACCCATGTATATTTTGGTAGGTCATCATCCATCTGTAATATTATGGTAAGTCATAATCACATCAGTATCAATGTATATGAACACAGATATGTTTTGGCAAGTCATCATCATATCTGTATCAATGTATGTGAACCCATGTACAAGGCAGCAAGTCATCAGCAGATCCATAACAATGTGCATCAAACAAATTAATTTAAGTACACCTTCAATTATAGGAAGTAAGAGGTTTCTATACTTGCATCTAAGTTATGGGTTTGTTTGTTTATTTTAGAGCAAATCCACACTGGACTATTTCCATCAGGGGAATCAAACTCTGGATCTTAGCATTGTAAGTCCTTAAACTTACCACTGTTCCACCAAGGAACCTAAGTTATGGAACAAAGTCACCTTGCAAGTCATTACTATGTAAAAATTATACAGTGTTACATACACAGTATACTTGGGTAACAACTGAAAATGTCATAAAGGTGTTGTTGATTGTTACATAAGTCATTGTTTTGAACAAATTATACAGTATGTTACATACACAGTAAAACTTTGGTAATAGTTTAAAATATTGTTGGTTATTATTCAAACCATTGTTGTGCACAAATTATACAGTATGTTACACAAACAATAAAACTTTGGCAACTGTTAAACACTCTCTCCCTCTCATATAAATACACACACAAGCACTGAAACATACACATACAAGTACTCTTACATGTGCACACTTGTATTATTCATCATATGTTCATCTTATCCATTATCACTCTCACTACTGGCTTGGCCAAATTCACCAAGTTTGTGAACCCAAATTGAACTTTATAATTTCCATATTATAATTTCTAATATGTTTTGTATATCTTCATGATATTTTAAATGCTTCACTAAGCTTTAAGTCTTTTGCAGACAAACAAATCAGAATTTTTAATGAAGTATTTTCATGAAAAATGTCTACATGAATATATGGAATCAGAGTGATTTTCATGTTACGATTAAAAATATTTTTCTTCATCTGAAAATTCCCAAATTTCATTTGCATAATCTCTAAAACCTCCTAAATAAATTTCAAACGTTATTTTTCAGTAAAAATTTATATTTTATTTGTTATTTTCTCTACCCAAACTGTATATGAGGTTGGTCAATTTGACTAACCTCATAGCCACCATAAAAAAATATGAAATAAATATATAAATTACCATTTTTTTCTTTCTAGACTGACTTCAAATTGTAATATGAAAATAGATTTGTTTGTCCTAAATAACTTTAAACTTGTACAGTACATAACTGTTTCTACTTATATTTTATTGTTTTATTGCCGTACTACACTTAGCAAATGTGTAGCTCACATTACCCTATCGAATTATGTAACACAAAGGTTACTCGCAAGTTGCTTGTGAGCATATCTCATGAACAACTTTTATTATTAATGAACTTTTCTTTATTTTACCTAATCTAACTTAAAAAGTTTCTAAGTTTGACATTTTAGTTAATTGTATAATAATAAATAAAGAATACACATGAAAAACAAGAAATATGGTATTTATCCGAGTCTTCTTTTTTTTTACTGTCAAATGTTGATGAGACTCAACCCTACTTTTTTATATTAATGGTACTACTGCACTAAATGATTTTTTTATTTAATTAAATAATGCATCTAAGAACACAGAATAATGACCTGCAAAAAGCAATGTCCTATAACTATTACAATTATTCTGGCTTTCTAACTGTGCGACAAGAGCCGTTAAAAATTCAGCTAAGTTCATCAATGCGTTTCCCATGGGAATAAAATTTGACCTAGAAGCAAAAGATACAATTCTCTGTACAGAAAACAATGTTATATAATAAGTCATTTGATAGATTATAACTACGGCTTTCTATTACTTATAAAATGTCAGAGAGAACTTATTGGCAATTTCTGAAAGAAAGATGTGACAGGTGGGTGTGGCAAGAGGGGTCTGGTTTTCTAGTTTATGGCTCTGTAACAAAATAAGGTTGAAGGCTATAAAAATTATGCTTTGCCTGAGTAATAACAACATTATAATGAGTAATTTACGTTAAATTTCATACATCTTGGAGGGGTGGTAAATAAATTAGAGAAGAGAGGATACCTTGACAGCAAATGTCACAATTCTCATACTATGGGAAATTGAAGATAGTTTTCAATATTGCATTATAAAATTAAGATCTAAATACTAAAAACCAGTATTAAAATTTGGATTATTAGCTACATTTTGATGCCAAGTTTATTCATATACCTTGATATTAAATAACTTTAATTAAATGTTGAATGTAACTCAATAAAACCTCATGAAATGTGCAGAAAAGGATGTTTGTGTAGAAAGAGTTAAACAGATGTACAAGCACAAGATGAGAAAAAATTAGAGAAAATAGTAGCTGAAACTGGGAATCTAACAGATTTATGGGCTTTGTCTTCTACTACTGAAACCCTCACCAGCCAAGACAGTGGAAACAACAATACAGACACTAAATTTCTGGATGCTGATGACTGTCAACCTCATAATATCAAATGGAGCCCTTGCCCTCAGTCAGAAATTGCAAAAAACATGACTGCCAAACAAGACTTTGAAAACAATCATAAAGAGACTAAAGCACTTGTGCTGATGACTGTCAACCTCATCAAATTTAATCAAGCCCCTACCACCAGGAAGATATCAGTTACTGCAATGGCGATGAAGATACTAACCCATCTTTTACATTTTATGCATTGGAGATTATCTCTTGCCAGTAATATAGATACTAATTTCATTGCATCTACAAATCGATTCTGGGTGACAAGTATAAGCAACAATACTCAAAGATCCTTTTTATCACGAGCAACTGAATGAAGAAAATGTTAAAATAGACTGGCTTTGCTACTCATTGTTGAAGGGGAATGTCTTTTGTATGATATGCAAATTGTTTTCAACAGCAATGGAAACTTTTTCGGTAGCAACCATTGGTTACTCTGACTGGGAAACATGCTGCAAGGGACTTTAGTTGGCACAAAACAAGCTTGCTGCATCAAAGTTGTGTCACCAAATTTGTTATTTGTAAAACCAAAAGTAGACGAATCAACAAGACTTTAACAAAGCAGGTGGAGTCAGAGAGAAAATTTACAGTGTATTCTCTCAGTCATAAAATTCTATCTTCTAGATGAAGCAATGAAGTATTTGGTTCAGTGCATAACGCAGGAATACTGGAGCTATTGGCCAATTATGATACATACCAAGGTTATGGACGATATTAAAGTTATCAGACCCAAAATGGACTACCCATTTAGATCCAATGTGAGCCTTAAGAATAGGGAACAAAGCTATATTGCAAGTTCTCACTAACATTACAGATGATGACTCGGAAAAGCCTCAAGTGCAAAAAGCCTTATGCTAAAATTGGAACAACTAGAAACAGGTATAATGAGAGAATTATGGAGCATTCTCTTGGAAAGGTTTCACAAGACAAATCCTTCATTACAAAACTCCCAAATGGGTGTTAGTACAATTTATAGTCTGCTAAAATCTCTCATGACATTCGTGCAGTAATTACAAGATTCATTGTCTGAATATGAAGAAAAGGGTAAAAAAACTATCAGGATGCAACACATAAAAAGCTGAAAGATCAATAAAAAGGAAGAGAAATATGTGACAGGATGAAAGGAATGCTGAGGACAGTGATTTTTCACCCTCTACTCAATATAAAGTTCACACTTTCTTAACAATAAATGGCAAACTGTTACTTGCACTAGATAACAGAACAGTGGCATATGAAAATGTCAATTTCAAATTTGGGTTTCTGTGAAACTTAGTGTACATCCCTAAGAGGACCTCCACGATGCCACCAAAAAAAGCCAATTAGAATTTATCCTCTTGACTTGGAGAGATGTACAGAGGAAGAAATTGTTCAATTTACTGCCCTCTGCTAGGAACAAAGTAAGCTGAGAATGATTTGTTTGCAACCAATTTTAAAATCCACTTTCCCAAACATCCTGATAATCTTAATGATGTACCTGTGCCTCATGTCAAGCAACTGACTGGGAGAAAGATTATTCATAATGCTAAAAAGGACAAATACAACATACTGATCAACAATGTGTCAAGACAAATGCACTTGCACTTTCATGCATAGAAAATAACTTATTAGAATCACTAAATGCCAATCAGATCATATATGCCTTTACTAGATAGTTTAACCAAGTACAAATGACATGACCTGCTACTACTGCTGGGTATACTATATGAGTATAGGTGTGACCTAAGTGTGTGTGTGTGTGTGTGTGTGAATGTGTGAGTTGTTGAGTTTATGTGTATGTACTTGATTTCTGTCTATCTGCTTTGTTGTCGAAATGCAAATTTTGTCTGTGTTAGAGCACTACTTTTCCTATTCAAAAAATATCTAATATTGTTCATTAATTTGTAGAAAAAATTAGCCCCATGCCCATCTGACCCTTAATCCATTCGTGGTTAACAATAAGAAGTGTTTGGGTTCTGACTGAATTATCAAACAACTTTTTTTTTATATCAAAAAACAATGTATTCTATTTTAAATCTGAAAAGGCTATTTTCTGATAATTTCAACAAAAACATTATTTATTTATTTAAATAAAATAATTTGCTCATGAAACTGAAAAACACACTCACTGATCAAACACTTGATCTACTTCTTTCAATGGAACAATTTCTTTTGTTTTGATCGGCGTCAAGTTCGGTATGCTCGGTTTAGATACTGCCTTCACAAATTTCTGGACATAGTTAACCCTAAGGATTGATAAAGAAAGTATTAAATCTAATTGAGAAGGTTAATCATATGTATAACAGTATAAATGAACTGTAACTGTGTTGAATTCAAGTTTATCATTACCTAATCATCATAAAAATGAGTCAACTCATTTTATTTTGTAACATTTCTACAGTCTTTAAAAAAATTAAGGAAAAAAGGATATAATATCTTGAAATAATCTAACAGTAAGATTTTGAAAACATCAGCCACACTAAATTACTCATTAATAAAAACATATGAAGGTTTTATTGGTATTCTTACATAGTCAACCCAACATTCAGAAGAACTTTTAAAATGTTATAAATATATCAAGGTTCAAAAAGGTAGATTGTTAATTTCACACATGCATAAAAACAATTAGTGAATGAAACAAGTATATTCTAGATCATGTGAGTGTCATTGACATCCCATAATTTTTTCTTTTCTTCTCACAGTGGAAATATTGAACCAGACTGCACGACAGTTAGTAAAAACTTAATAAATTGTATCTAGTTTCAGATTTTAAAAATCGTATAATTTGATTTATTTTTCTATAACTTACAACTTTCTGTGATAATTCCAAAATTCTTTAGGGGGATATTGTTTTAAAAAACATTAAAAATATTTCCTTTCAACTTAAAATATCAATTTTTATTATTATTTATTAGAAAGTACCCCCCTTTTATTTGACTGATATTTATTAACATATTTCTTTTGCTGTGTGTAATAAATACTATTTGTGGCTAAATCATAAAAAAGCAGGGACAAAACTGACAAAGTCTTATCAATGACCATTGACCTGACCTGTAATAATGGATCATGCTAGGTAACAATATTTTTAGTCAAGATAAATTTATATCTAATAAATATTTTTTCTTTTCAATAAATAATGAGTTCATTTATTTATTTGTTGTTTAAATAATACAACAAATCTAACAATAATCATTAATAAACAAGGATTTGAATAATCAAAACATTGTGACTTTATCTACAATACTTTCTAAACTTAAATAGGGTTACCTGACTGTAAGTTTTAAAAGATCCACAAGTCTTTACAGTAGATGTTTGCAACTTGTTGGTGATAAAGTTTAACAATAAACAGACATCATACAATCCACTTGTTTTAAAATAATATATTCAAAACAAGTCAAATGTATGTACAAAAAAATTAGTTACGCTATTGATTATCACAGTTTGTCCAGAGCTTAAAATAATTGTCTTTGTTTTGTCAAAGTCCACACAGGCGGGTTCAATTATTTTAGAGCACCCTTTGACATAACAAATTATTTTCCTCTATCTCTGTTATTACAATACAAGCTGTGATACTTTCACTTTAGAAATCACAACAACATACTCTTTATGGCTAAACTCACAATCATGCAGTCTAACTTGATTTTTTCACTTTCACTAACTTACTTCTTTGCACTAACTTGGTTGCCTACATATATATTTCCCAACTGAGGCTTAGAACTTTCTACCAACTACGAGACATTATGGTGTAACAATATTCACTTATCTCTCTCTACAAGAGCTCAGTCGAATTGATTGACCATGTGACCACTTTGTATTCATTATAGTTTTGATACTACTAACTTTTAATACAGTACATAACTTTTAATATAGTAAGTTTGTCTTCACAAAATTTGACAGACTTTCATTACAAGTATTTTACATGCAAAAAATAAATTTTTTAGTGACGTATTTTTAATAAACTAAAAAAAGATTTGCCCATGAATATATAGTCTTTTTTTTTTTACTAGTCTGAGCACAAAGTGATTTTCATGTTAAGTTTGGTTTGATTTGAATTTTGCGCAAAGCTACATGAGGGCTATGGGCACTAGCCATCCCTAATTTAGCAGTGGAAGACTAGAGGGAAGGCAGCTAGTCATCACCACCCAATGCCAACTCTTGGGCTACTCTTTTACCAACAAATAGTGGGATTGACATCACATTATAATGGCTGAAATGGGGAGTATGTTTGGTGGGACATGGATATGAATGCACGACCCATAGATTGTGAGTCGAGTGCCCTAACCACAGGCCATGCCAGCCTGCTTCATGTTAAGATTAAAAATACTTTTCTTCACCTCAAAAATCTCAAATTTCCTGTGTATAATCCCTAAAACTTCCTAAATGCATTTCAAACGTTTTTTTTCAGTAAAACTTTATAATTTATCTGTTATTTTCTCTACCCTATCTCAAAACCGAATTGGTCAATTCTACAGACCTCTAACCGCAAAAAAAAATCTAAATAAATCTAAATTACTTTTTTTCTTTCTAGAATGACTTCAAATTATAACAAGAAATGACATTCATTTATCCTAAGTATTATTAAACTCTTAACAGTAAACATCTATTTATACTTAAATTTTATTGTTTTATTGCCCTTTTAACCATGTCTAACTACTATTCACACCATTACAAGTTAAGTCACTTGGGGAACATGGAGCTCATGTTACGCTATCGAATTACATTACCTATAAGCTACTCCAAGCTGCTCATGTGCATACCTCGTGAAAAATTATTATATTATTATTAATTTTACCTAATCTAACCTTAACTAACCTAAAGACTTTCCTGCTTTTGCATTTTAGTTACTTTTATAATAATAAATAAAGAATACACATGAAAAACAAAAAATAAAGAACTTACTTGGGTCTTCTATATTTTTTTGCTATCAACTGTTGATAACACTTAACTCTACCTTTTTTATACTAATGGTAATAGTGCACTAAATAATTTTTATTTAATTAAATAATGCACCAAAGAACATAAAAAAATAACACACAAAAATCTGACAATGTCCCATAACTATCACAATTTTTCTGGCTTTCTAACCAAACAACAAGAGCTGTTACAAATTCATCCAAGCTAGTTGATGTTTCCTGTGGGAACAAAGCTTGTACTGATAGAGAAATTGACAATTGTCTGTACAGAAAGCAACGTAATATGATACACCATTTGATTGATGAAAAACCCTGGCTTTCTATTGTTTATAAATAGTATAATGCTAAACATATTAGAAGAACTATTAACAAATCCTGAAAGAGAGGATGTGACAGGTAGTTGTGGCAAGAGGGGTCTGATTTTCTACTTGATGGCTCTGTAACCAAACAAGATTGAAGGCTATAAAAATTATGGGTTGTCTGCACAATGATGATTTTATAGTGAGTAATTTAGATTAAATTTCATACTTATTGGAGGGGTGGTCAATAAATCAAGGAAGAGAGAATGCCTGGAGACAAAATGTGACATTTCTCACACAAGGGGAAATTCAGGATTTTTGTTAATATTGCCTTATAAAATTAAGAACTTAAAAGTTATATACTACTAAAATATGAATTTTATGCACATCCTCTCTTGTATTTTATCCACCGACCCTCCAATAGGTACGAAATTAAACATAAATTACGTCATTGCTCAGATAAACCACACTTTTATAGCCTTCAATTTTATTTGGTTAAAGAACCATCAAATGGAAAATCAGAGCCTTCTTGCCACAATCATCACATCCTCTCTTTCAGGATTCGTTAATAATTCTATGTTACATTTAATTCTATATTAACTATAAATAATTGAAAGCCAGGGTTTTTATCAATCAAATTAAGTATCATATAACATTGTTTTCTGAACAGAGAATTGTCAATTTCACTGTTAGTACAAGCTTCATTCCCAAGGGAAAGATAAGACTAGCTTGGATGATTTTGTAATGGTTCTTGTCGCATAATTAGAAAGCTAGAAAAATTGATAGTTAGGAAAATTGTCTACTTTTTGCATGTTACTACTCTATGTTCTTTGGTGCATTATTTAATTAAATAAAAATTATTTAGTGCACTATTACCATTAGTATATAAAATGTAGAGTTAAGTGTCATCAACAGTTGACAGCAAAAAAATAAAGAAGACCCAGGTAAGTTCTTTATTTCTTGTTTTTCATGTTTATTCTTTATTTATTATTGTAAAAGTAACTAAAATGCAAAAGTAGGAAAGTCTTTAGGTTAGTTAAGATTAGATTAGGTAAAATAAATAACAATAATAATATAATAAATATATTTCAAGAGGCACTCATGTGAGCAGCTCAGAGTAGCTCATGGGTAATGTAATTTGACAGCATAACGTAAGCTACACATTACCCAACTAATTTATAACTTATGATGGCATGAATATTAGTTAGACATGGTTCAAAAGGCAATAAAACAATAAAATTTAATTATAAATAGATGTATACTGTTACAAGTTTAAAGATACTTAGGATAAACGAATGTAGTGTCATGTTACAGTTTGAAGTCATTCTAGAAAGAAAAGGGTAATTTAGATTTATTTAGATATTTTTTGGTGGTTACAAGGTTGGTCAAATTGACCAACCTTGGATAGAGTTAGGGTAGAGAAAATAACATATAAAATATAAAGTTTTTCTGAAAACAAACATTTTAAATGTATTTAGGATGTTTTAGAGATTACACAAATGAAATTTGATATTTTTGAGATGAAGAAAAGTACTTTTAATCTTAACATGAAAAACCACTGCACAGGGATTATTCAAAACAAATACTCGACATATTCATGGACAAGTCTTTTTTTTTTTAGTTTATTTAAAATACTCCACAAAAAAATATGTTTTTTGTATGTGAAAGACTTATAATGTTTACTAAAAGTCTGCCAAACTTTGTGAACATATACACACTATATTAAAAGTTAGTAGTATCAAATCTATAAAGACTTTCTATTTCTAAATGAGTTCTTATATTTAACATAATGAAACGTGATGTTCTGGTAAACAAAATTAAAATAACTTTTAAAATTAGATCTTACCAGGTTAATATAAGGATTTAAAAGGTGTAATTTGTTAGAGTACCAGCAAAGCACAAAATTACAACATTTTAAAACTACTGAACAAAGAACATTTCACACCAATAATAAAATATTTATCTATCCATACTGAACTATTCTTGTATTTTAAGCCTCAGAACACAGTCCTTCACATTTGACAGGTGCTATCACCCTGACCCTCAAAAGTGCCCATAAAATGAGTTTTGCAAGGGCTTGTTAAAGGCATCTCCTCAAGTTTGTCATGACACCCACTGTTTTGGACCCACTATTGGTCCTTTTATTCTTACCAAGAAATACTTTTGAATTCAGATCCTTATTATTTGTCATGGCACTGGTTACTCAATCAACTGTTGTATGTATACACAAGACAAACTTACAGATAACTTTGTGTGACCATGTTGGCAGATGTGACTCTGATACTTTAATTTTAATTAACCTAAACTAGTGATGTTACACATGCAGTAAACGTAATTTTTAACTATATTATTGTATATAAACATCAAATATTTGTAACCACAGGCAGTGAGATATATGGGCCCGTGGTGCCTGCACTCAACCAATATTTAGGAATGTTAACTCAGCTCCAACAATATTTCAGCTATATCTTGCATATATTTTCAAAACCATAATGGTCAAATAGCCAACACTGGGGAAGTCATAACAATTTAAATTTTTTCATCAATTCAGTATAAAAATTAAAACCATGTTATTCATTTTCCTGACCCCAGTTTGGCACCACCAAAAATTATACAAACTAAGTAAATAAATCGAATATTGATTATTAGCAAATGTATGCTGATAAGATGAGTTTCAGTAAATTTGATTGTGATCTAAATTATATTTGATACAATACTTTCTGCATGACATGAGGCCACATAGGCTGCTTTACTGATATGAGGTCGCCATAATTTGGTGAAATACTATAAATATGTTTCAGTTTAGCCAATGAAACTCTGCTTTGTTTTCAACATTAAATAAATGGAATGTCAGTGGACAAAGTGGTTTTTAAGCTAAGAGTTAAATACAAGCTAGTGCAAAGGGTTATCTTGATACAAATAAAAAACTATGCCATGACATTTTGATGTATTTAACATGATAAGTATCAGGTTCTATATTGCTGCATGTTGAACTTTCATTGCCTGCAAGTTAATAACTTAATTTTTTTAAATAAGTAATGATATATTATTTACATTTTATTTCATAGTAAAAAATGTAAATACCATTTTACTATTGTCTGCAAGTCACACAACAATAATCACATGCTTCTAGTCAAGATGTTATGTGCCAAACTTTAAGGAGATTATCACATTTATTTGTTCCACTTTTACTGGTGGTAAAAATTTTATCGATTCTCACTTTATTTGTTTATTCATCAAATTAATGTACCAGACCTTAAACTTGCCTCTTACCTTTACCTTGGCTTTGAAATAATTCTACAGATTCACTTAACAGAAAAACAGTACAATTCTCTTAATACAAATTTGCTTTTGTCCATTTTTGTAAACAAAAAATTGAAATACAGCATCCGCTTGTTAACAATCTCCATGGAATTTTTAGCAGGGGGCAGTTTACAGCCCTTGCACATTTTTCAAACATGAAGGACTGTTTACATCAACAACATATTGTTAAAGTATTTACTATTCTAACCTTATGGACATAAGTGTGACTTTTAAATAGGGTGTACAAGATCAAACCTTTCCATAAAAGAGAGGGCTCTGACATCATCTCCACCAAGGCATATGGCATCCAATATATGTACAGCTTTAAATCGGCGCTGAGCTCGACCCTGCATCAAAACAGGAACTTATAATATTGTATTAATAAACTCTCTTTGCTCTATGATAATATCAATTTGTTTTATTGTTCAAACAAAATCATTCCATCATTCAGAAGAACTAAAATACTGCATGTTAAGAAATTCTACTTTGATACAACCAACAGAATACATGAACCATAGTTAAACATGAAATACTACTTCAGTACACAATACAGTAGACAATTACTTTATAAAGTCTACAATGATGAAAATATGTTATTTTCTTGCATTACCTCCCCATTTAATTCCTGAATAAGCTCAGCAAATAAGAGGGTATTTGCAGGAAGATCCATTTTCAGATCCAGTTTGATCCAGCGACCCCCTAGGGTAGTTGGTTCTTTCCAGAAGATGTGGTTTCTCTGAAAAGAGCACATTATTCTCAAAACCTTTTAGCATTTAAAATTGTATGCAGAGGTAAAGAAGTAATGCAATATAATATACCTTACATCTACAAACAACAAAATAAAGTGTTTCTAAATATGATTTCAGTTTCATTATGTGGGGAGAATTAACATTAAATATGTAACATCTTACCCAACAAAGACTCCAGTAGCAGAGTCAAAAGCTTGTAAATAATAAACAAATTAATATTTACATGAAAAAAAATATAACAGTTTTATTCAGTGATACTGTTGACACTGCAAAGGGGGTATAGAATCCATTACATTGTCTCTTGGTCAGAGATGCTTAATTGATATGTCATCTATACTAGGAATGTTACAAAAACTTGAAACACACATGAGAATGAATACACATATGGATTTATCAGATGAGACATTCTAAAGACCAGTCTTTGTCATTATTTCTTGCATCAATGAAATATTCACCACATTTAATAAACACAAAATACCACAGTATAAAGTTTTTAGTAAAACAACTCACCCCCAAGCTTAAGATGAAACAGGTATGGGATTGGCTATTTGTCTCCATACCCAAAACAATACAGTAATAATCATAAACACTTGTTATAGCCTTTAACTTCTCTTGTGTCAATTCTTCTGCTTTGAAGTTCATGTAATCAGAACTTTCACCCTAAAAGATGGTTAAAGAATGTGTTTAACACACACTTATAATAGACACTGATTTAACACACACTTATAATAGACACTCACTTCCCTGGTACAACACCTTCTGCCTTGAAAGCTAATATAATTAGAACTTTCACCCTAAAAGATGGTTAAAGAATGTGTTTAACACAAACTTAATACAGACTATCACTTCCCTGGTACAAGGTCTTCTGCCTTGATAGTTGATATAATTAGAATATTCACAAGATGGTTAAAGAATGTCTTTAATACATTTATTACAGATGATCACTTTTCTGTTTAGTTATTCTGCCATGAAGTTAAACACACACATTCACTTTTCTGTAAAGGATCTCCTGTCCTGAAGTTTCTATTGTGAAATATTCACTCGTACAACATAACAGATACAGCTGAACAACACAAAGAAAAAAGCTGAATTTCATACAAACAGGTAATTATTCTATTAATCATATTATTTACATGGAACACAGTACCAGATATGCAGCTTTAATATATTGTTTATATTTATAACATTAAAATATTTGGTTGATCATAACTGTTTTGCAATATATATTATTTAGTATGTATAAATATTAAAAGATAACTTCACCTTCATCAATTCGAAAAACTTAGATTTTGGATCTGGCTTGCTAGGGGCAGAGCGGGCTCTGTCCGGAATCTACAAAGCAAAAATTGTATTTAACATGAAGCAAAAAAAGATGCCTGAAAAACTAAATTTGTAAAGTATTTCCTTAAAATATAAAGTACATAAAAATGTTAGCCTGAGTGATGCTTGTTTTCTTGCATATAAACTACCATACATATTTGCAAATATATATAAATGTAGTAATGTGAATATAAATATCCCATAATTATCAAAATAACTAAACAATAATATCAAAAATCACCATTTTACTGTTTGAAACTAAATTCTGAATTATAAAAATAATATCCCTACCTTCCAGAGTTTCAAGCATTCTTTTCTTAAATCACTCTGTCTCTCTTCATATAAATCACTGATCAGAAAACAAAAATGCTCATTCATCATTAATTCATACAAAAGGTTTATGTTGTAATTTCAAACTAAAAATAGATTTTTAAAAACCAGTGCTTAAAAGAATGTAGATTATGGGTATCTTGCTTGATAATGCTTGGACAGTAGTAAATGCTGCTAGAAATACAAAATTATTTATTAACATACCATTAAATTCTGTTAGAAATTGCAGTTTTGCTTCTAGCAATAATCATTTGAATAAACTATTATGGCCAAATCATACATTAGTTCTTTAAAGTAAGTAAAAACAGAAGTAAATGCAAAAATTCACTGATATCATTAGTTTAGCAAGAGAATAGAAAGAGCTATTAAACTACTTCTCTCCAAACATTATATTCTGAGTTTACAATCAGAGATTAAATAATATAATAATTTATCAAAACAATTACAAACTCTCTTTTAATATTTATAATATTCATATTACACTTCTAACAGAAAATAAAAAAAACTTCATAATTCTAAAACTTTTCAATTATTACATTTTAAATATTAAGTGGATGTCATGCCATTACATTTGAAAGTTACTACGAATTTTTTTAACATCAGACAACAAGAACACACTTACGCATTCTGAGCAAAAGCCCTGATTTTGGCTAAGTTAAGCATCTGCCGTTTTCCAAGCCTAACAAATACATAAATGTACATGCATACATGAGTAATACAGAAATGACAATTACATAGTTTTAATAACAATGGACAATAGTATTCTAATATTTTTCATTGTCATAACCAGCGTACAATAATAAATAAAATCAATAATATTCAAGTTCAAATACAATATTAATATGTAAAATATAAAAAAGTAACATATTGATTACTGAGTAAACTTACTGGAACAGCTCCAGTACAGGTACAGAAAAGTAACATGTTGCATACTGAGTAAACTTACTGTAACAGATTCAGTACAGGAGCTAAAAAGTAACATGTTGGTTATTGGGTATACTTACTGTAGCAGCTTCAGTACCAATATAGAAAGTAAGATGGTGGTTATTGGATAAATTTACTATAACAGTTCGAATACAGGTACAGAAAAGTAACATGTTGGATACTGGGTAAACTTACTGTAACAGCTCCAGTGCAGGTACCAAAAGGTAGCATATTGGTTAATGGGTAAGCTTATTATAACATTGTCAGTACAAATAAAGAAAAGTAATATGATGGCTACTGGGCAAACTTACTGCATGAAAGGAGTACACAAATTTGAATAAAGAAGAAAAAATTTGTATTTCTGAGGAAACAGATACACTTGTTATACACAGATGTGTCTAAATTTTGTTACAGTGTCAAGTTATTGAAATATCAAAAAATTTTATTTTTTGGAGATTTATTCAACACTAAATCTGAGTCAACTAGAGCAGTTGTGAATTTTTGGTAACAGAGTAGGATCCACAAGAGATCCAGATAAATTGGAATAACATATAGGGATCTGTAAGGTTTGGCCTGAGGAATTATTTGCTGTGTCTTTTGTTACTGATATACTGGTAAAACTGGTTTTCTGTCTACCCTAAGTTGACCACTCTCACCACTCATGGATGTCCAAGTCTTCAAATGATTCTGTGAACATAACCAGTCTGTTAAAAAAATGTGTTTCTCTTTGTCTGTTTGACACTTTCATTAGCATCAATTCAAATTATTATCTGGCCTCTTTTATAGCCAGCTTTCTCTGCAACTGGTATCCTGTCATGATCACATCCACATCTGCTACACTTGTAACATGCTAAGCAATTTGTCATCTTACACTTCCAAGTAAGCTTTCAATTTTATGCTTCTTACATCTGTCCTCAAAGATATATACAATATTGACAGAAATCTGTTGGGTGTTCTTAGTTTCTTATGATTACTGGCTTTGTAAGAATCTCTGTAAATATTGTATTACATCAGTACTATGATCTCAGGCAAAGGGTTTAGTAAACAAAATTTCCATTCACCAAAAATAAAAATCACTGTATCTCCATCAGTTCTCTCCAATTTTGGGGTTGATGAACTACGAGGAAGCCAGTGGTGTTCATCAACCCCAAAATTTGGAGAGAACTGATGGAGATACAGTGATTTTTATTTTTGGTAAATTTATAAGAGTTGAGAAAATTTCACAAGTGTGTCTCCAAGAAATAAATACCATAATGGTCTGGTTGACA